GAACCGTGACCGTTTTGCGCATGCGCTAGTGACATTTCATAAATTGAAATCTCTTATCTGTTATCAGGTTATTACAACCATCTTATCTTATATCTATGATTACAACTTTTAAAAAATAATGACCACTGTAGACCACTGTAGACTACTGTACTCTGTGTTTCCTATTCGTGTGCGTTGTTAATTTAATATAAGTCTTATTGGTTCTTGATTCTTGTACGCAAAGCTATAGCGATTAGCGAAATTATATTGTTGTTGTATACTACTTTATAGTACACGTGAATAATTGTCACTGTATCACATTCTGAAACTATGGATCCTATAAATGATCCAGTAGTGATATTACTTGAAACGCCTTTTAGGCGTTGGAATAATATTCATAAAAATGATTTGATTAGAAAAGGCAATACATATGTAAATGTATATAATTGTTGTATATATGTATGTTAATATTTAGTCRCCTCAGTCAAAATTGAATCCCAAAACCGCCACTTGAAGTGAACGGTCTTTTTCTTGTCTTCGAAGATTAAAAACATATCTGCGCAACAATACTGGTGAGGAGAGATTAAATGGATTGATGTTATTAAACTTTTTTATTCATCTTTAACCTTCAATATATACCCTATAAAAAATTAACTGATTAAAAAATCAATATTTGACAAGAAATCAAAAATGTTGTAAAAAACACTGTTAGGATAAAAAATGAAACTAAATTTCGGCCATAGTTAGTCTAGCAAATTCATGCTAAATGCGTTCTAAATGATGGTGTGGTTCAATTTTAGAAATTTGAAAATTTTCACTCTGGGGCGGTGCTGGCGAAACGCCCAAATTATTGGAAACGATTTCGCACGGAAGTGACGATCGTGCGAATTTCGGCGATAGTCGTGCAAATTCATGCTAAATGATGGTTCTATAAAAATTTCCTTTTTTTTGGTTGGGCGGTGTTGGCGAAATGTTTCACCAGCACCGCCCGTTGATTTTTACGATTCCGGAGACACCGATGTCGTGAAAATTGCAAAATTAGTCATGCAAATTCATGCTAATTTGGTGCTAATTATTGATGAAATATAAATTCCAAATTTTTTAATGGGCGGTGCTGGTGCAACGTCGTGGTGTATATTAGATGGTTATACTATTATGTATAACAAAACCAATAAATAACATTTTAGCAATGACCTAATGAAACTATTGTTTTAGAATTTGAAACATAAAATTATATAGGCACATATTTTATAGGTAAAATTATTATATTTTATTTAAATATTATTTTTAATAAGAAATTTTCATCTCATAATATGCATATTTTATTAATAATTCAAAATAAATGTTAAATTTAATAATTTTGATTATCATTTAAAGGTGGAGCAAGTGTTTAATATGTATAGGGTGTCTCAAAAAGAACGCCGGATTTAAATCTGCTATACATTATATTTATTTTTCTTAAAAAAACATTACAAATATATCATTCTCTTCAGAATAAATTGAGGTTTAACAGTGAAAAACAACATAGGGCATATAACCCCCC